GAAGGGGGAGTTTTGAGGAGATTCGGCAATTGTGCTAGGAGGAGGAATGGGGGAGGGATGATATGTGCTAGGAGGGGGATATGGGTGAATTGAGCCAGGAGGAGGGATTGGTGGGAATTTTTGTGCTGGGAGGTTGTGGTAAGATGAGGGGGGGGGGGGGGGTTGTGCTAGGAGGGCGAGTTTGTAAGGTAATTTGTAGGGGGTCGTGCTAAGAGGAGGGATTGGGGGGAATTTGTTTGGGGGGGATTGTCAAGAAAGGAGGTGGGGGAATTTGGGCTAAAATGGGGGATTGGGAGGAATGTATGTGCTGAGGGGGTTTGTACTAGGGGGGTATTGGGGGAGATTTATGCTAGGAGGGAGGACTGGGAGGATTTGGGTAGGGAGGGAGGATTTGTCCTGTGAAAGGTCATTTGGAGGAGTGTGCTGGGGGGGGGGGGGAGACTGGGGAGAATTTGTTCTAGGAGGGGGGATTGGGGGGAAATTTTTGTGCTGGCAGGTTGTGGTAAAATGGGGGGATTGGCAGGGGATTTTTGTTAGAAAAAGTAATTTTTAGGGGGTTGTGCTAGGTGGAGGGATTGGGGGGGGGGAGATTCTGCAAGAAGGGGGGGGGGCATTTGGGCTAAAAGGAGGGATGGGGGTAATAAAATGTGCTAGGATGGGGTTTGGGGGAATTGAGCCAGAAGGGTTTGGGAGGAATTGTTGTGCTGGGGGGTTTGTGCTAAGGGGGTATTGAGGGGATATGTGCTAGAGGGAGGGATTGGGGAGAATTTTTTCTAGGAGGGGGGATTAGGGGGAGAGAATTTGTGCTGTGAGGGGGGATTGGATGGGGGGGGGGGAATTTTGTGCCAGGAGGGGGTGGGGGAATTTGAGTTAATAGGGGTGATTGGTGGTGGTTTGGGGATTGTGCAATTTTGGGGGATTTCTGATAGGAGGGGGAAATGTGTGAGAGCTAATTTGAGCTAGGATGTGAAATTTGTGAAGAAAGAGAATGTGTGCTAAGAGGGGTGATTTTTTGGGGGTGGTGAGATTTGTGGTAGGAGGGGAGAAGTGGTGTGGGATTTGAGCTGGAAGGCAGGATTGGAGGGCAAATATTTTTACTGGGAGGGTGGATTTGAACCTGGGAGGAGGGGGATTTTTGCATTTCTTTTGGGTGAAAGAATTTCAGCTTGCGGATGGAATTTACGCTTAGAGGAAGTGTCTACTAATTAGTCTTTTTTTTTCTTGATGGGGGGGAGCAATTTATGCTGAGTCAGCTGTTCATGCTTCAGAGGTGCAGTTTGTCATCTACATGACCTTGTCCCAGCACTGCCTGAACTACACTCAGGTCACTCAACAGATCTCCTCCTCCCCACACAGCACATAGCTTGGATCGGATCTCTTACAGACACAGCCTCAGTCTGCAGAGTGTACAGCAGGCTGCTATGTTGCAGTTCTGACCTGTGAAATTTCCAGATCTGAATGGCCGTACAGCTGAGGCGGACCAGCTACAAACTGCAGATCAAGGCTATGTCTGTAAGGGAATCTGATCTGAGCTGTGTCCTGTGTGGGGAGGGGGAGAGATTGGCTGAGTGCCCAGGCTATGTGCAGTGTGGGGATGGGAGTAAGAGCTCTGCTGAGTGATCTGCCACCAGTAAACCCAGTCCTCGTCTCTGCTGACCCCTGTACCCTGCTCTGCTGACCCCTGTCTTCTGCACTGATAACACCTGTTCTCCATCCTGCTGACCTCTGTCATCTGCTCTGTTGACCCCGGTTCTCTGCCCTGCTGACCCCTGCCCTACAGACAGGGGCGGAATGACCATTTGGAAACTCGGGTACAGCCCGAGGGCCAGGGGTCAGTAGGGGGCCCCATAAGATGCCCCTGGTACCTTTTTCATAGGCTTTTTTGATTTTGGGCAAGGACACAGGGGCTCCATGATCCCCTATTGCCCGGGGCCCCATGAGTTGTCAGGCCACCCCTGCCTACAGACCACCACTGCCCTCTTGTGCACTCCCACTGCTGACCTCTGTCCGCTGCCCTGCTAACTCCATGCACTGCCTTGATAACCCACTGTACACTGCCCTGCAAATTAACGGTCTCTGTACTCTGCCCTAAAAACTGTTGACCCTATTCTCTGCCCTGCTGACCACTGTACACTACTCTTCTGACTCCAATAGACTGCCATGTTGACCTCACATCCCCTGCCCCCCCTGACATTTTTTACTGCACCCCCCCCCCCCCCACACACACACACATCGGACAGGCTAGATCCGGCCCTGTGTACAGACCTACAGCATTGCTTCCAGCTGGCCAGGTCCATACGCTGTACAACCAGGGGCGGACTGACCATTTAGCTGCTCTGGGTCAGTAGGGGGCCCCATGAGATGCCCCTGGTACCTTTCATAGGCTTTTTTGGGTTTGTGTGGTTTGAGTGTGGGCGAGGACACAGGGGCCCCTGATTTTCTATTGCCCGGGGACCCCATGCGTTGTCAGTCCGTCCCTGTGTACAACCTGACATTCCTCACATTCCTGCTTCTGCTATAAGCTCATGGTCCTTTCAATGAAATGGGTGGTAGTGTACCTTTGTCGTAAAGTGACAGAGAGTGCTTTGGACTCTAATAAATAATGATTTGGTGCTCTCTTTAAAGCTACCCTTTTTTTGAGGGACAGCTTCAAATTGTGAGCGTTTAATTTTTCGCAAGGGCACTGCATTAGAAATGAGAGAACATTATCGCAAACTTTTTTCAAACTGTTCACTAAAATTTCAAGCTCATGTCTACTGCAGAGCCCCACTAAGCATCTGATGTGATAAAACGTGCTGGTAATTTGAGTTGTGAAATCGTACTTACTCTTGAATAATTGCTCCAAATTGTCAATAGCTTCTTGGATATCCTTCCATATGGATTTTTTGAAAATTTCGAGAAACGTGCCTCTATCTTCCACTTGCAGAAGGATTTGTAAGGCTTCAGCAGTCTCACTTAGTTGAGCATTAATGTGACAGATCTTTCTGTAGCTGCTGAGAACTAGGAAATGCTGTTTCCACCAGCTTCCAGTATAGGTCTCCATCCATTTTTTGGCCATCTCCAGGTTGGATAGGAATGCCATCAACGTGTCTTCCATTTCTTTTGTTTTTTCCAGATCATTCTCTAGCTTTCTTAAAGGCATTGTAAGCAGCTCGATCCTCTGTTCTAGATTTTTACAAAGCTTCTTGTTGGTTTTGGCTTGTTCACGTAGTTTGTTGATGGTTTTTGCGACAGAAAAGATGGTATTTCAACACTTCTCCGGCCATTTCCTATTAGTTACATACAGAACAATATCAGGGAATGGTGAGGATTATTTCCTCTCTTTTTCAAACTAAATTAGAAAAAAAAAGGAGTCACGCTGGAGCCGTTTCAATATTTGGACTCAGTAATAGTTGATGAGGGGTTCTGACCTACCCAAAGTTTTTGTGATCTGCATTTTGCTCTAGTTCAGGAACTTAGACAGTACTGGCTCCTGAGATTGCAAGACAAATAACATTCTTGTATGGAGATCTGTCTGCAGCATTGCCCAAATATTTATCTTTCATAATCGCATATTAGCACATTATGAAAGACTTACCTGAGAACAAAGCCCTCCAGCAGCATGCTGTCTCCGCTGCAGAGGCATCTGTCTTCACCCGGTCTTCCTTCTGGATTTGTGGACTGCGGCTGCTTGAATGGCCAAACCATGAAGACGTCTCTCCTGCGTATGCATGTGGGAATCATGGCCATGGCACAGAGCTCTGAAGGAACGGCACGGGTATGCTCCCCAGAATATCTCCTAAATGGTCAAATATTCATTTTACCTACAGGTAAGCTTTATTATAAGCTTACCTGTTAGTAAAAATCAACATTGATAGTTTACTACCACTTTAACTAAAACAATGTTTATAAACACTGCTACGCAGTATTTCAACATGTAAGCAATTGTGCTGTCTCTAAAATTGTCTCACGTCCAGTTTTTGCAGCATGACATCAGCTCCTCCCTGCGCGTTACGTCTGCAAAGCCACGTGACCTGTGACGTAATGCGTAGGGAGGAGCCAATGATGTCATTCTGCAGAAACTGGATACGAGCAGGCCACCATCTTGTTATTCACCAGAAATACAATACCTTAAGGGGAAGCACTACTACTTTTTTACTGTGGTGCACCAGATTTGTATACAGATAAATGTGAGTGATATTTTAACCAATAGCCGCCCGGCCAATAGCCATTTGGCGGCCGGCAAAATGCTGTAAATTTCCGGGTGGACCCCATATGGCGTCCTCCGGGCATGCGCAGTTTTCGCGCTTGCAGAGCCGCGCAGCAGCTCGATCTGTCACTGGCTGTGTACCTCGGACACGGCCGATGACAGATCTGCGTACCGGCCCCGTTGCCGGTACCATGTGACCTGCTGTGACCAATTACAGCAAGTCACATGACAGTTGTATACAATGGATGGCTTCATTCATGCCAAATCACAGCTAAGCGCAAAAAAAAAAACAAAAAAACCTGAATGAATCGATGTCATTCAGGCAAAATGCTTGCTTATAGCAAAGTAATTCTTTGCTAAAAGCAAATTGGGCAAAAAAAAAAAAAATAAATACTGGTCACTTCCCCAAAGTAGTATAATGTTACTATGGTAACATTGTACTACTTTGGACATAGTGAAATATGAAAAAAAAATCTTAAAAAAAGAAAAAAAGTAATAAAAAATTAAAAATTTTAAAAATATATATATATATATTTTTTTTTCATACTGTAACCAGTCAGTGTCCCTGATCACTGCCATGCCAGTTATATGATGACGTTGTACTGCACTGGTGACAGTATGTAAAAAAAAAAAATAGTGAAAATAATTTTTTTCATTTTTTCATTTTCTGAAAAATTATGACAAAAAAAAATACAACTTCAAAAAACTCGCCATGCCTCTTTTGAAGTACGTTGGACTGTCTACTCTGCAAAAAAGAGGACATTTGGGGATATCTGTACTGTTCTGACATTTGGGGAATATCTGTACTGTTCTGACATTTGGGGAATATCTGTACTGTTCTGACATTCTTGGACCTCAAGAAATTAGATTGGCTGTCAGTACTTCAGGATTGATCAATATTCAGATCTATCCCATAGTTTGTGAACTCTATAACTTTCCTACAAACTAAAAAATACATCCTAATTTGGGTTATTTTCACCAAAGACATGTAGCAGAATACATCTCGGCCTAAATTTATGAAGAACAATTATTTATTTGCCAACTTTTATAACAGAAACAAAGAAAAACGTGTTTTTTTTTAAAAAAAAATTTTTGGTCTTTTTTTGTTAATTTAGCAAAAAATAAAAAACCCCGGCGGTGATTAAATACCACCAAAAGAAAGCTCTAGTTGTGTGAAGAAAATGATAAAATTTTAGTTTGTTACAATGTTGTATGACCGCGCAATTGTCATTCAAAGTGTGAGAGCGCTGAAACCTGAAAAAATGGCCTGGGCAGGAAGAGGGTTAAAAGTGCCCGGTATTGAAATGGTTAATAATGTTAATAAAATATTGGTGGAAGTGGAAAACACTAGGATGATCTTTTTGGAGCCTGGAATGAAGAAAATGTCTTAAGAGCCATGAGGATGGATGTGAATTGAAACTCCTGAAGGTTGCTGAGTGGGAGACCAGTCAGGGCTGTATCAACCCTGGATTAAAGGGGAAATATTTTTAGGTCACATAAAGAAGATGAGGGCATCTGCATGTCGGTGATAGGATTTGCACAGTGTATGGTGATTTGAAGCACAATTTTATTAGAAGATATTGCAACATTTATTAATTCAATCACTGCTAGCAAAGTGCAAAAAATAATTATTTTATTGAAGGACTGACGTTATTGTGTTCTGTATTGTTATAATAATTTATTTTAGAGCGCCGCACAATTGTTTGAATGTAAAAATGCTGTGCATCATTGTATAACTACTTGCCTACCAGGCACTTTCATCCCCTTCCTGCCCAGGTAAATTTTCAGCTTTCAGCGCTGTTGCACTTTAAATGACAATTGCGCGGTCATGCAACACTGTATCCATATGGCGTAATAATCATTTTTTCCACACAAATAAAGCTTTCTTTTGGTGGTATTTAACCACTTGAGCTCCAGAGGATTTACCCCCCTTAATGACCACGCCTCTTTTTGCTACTCGGCGCTGCACTAATTCAACTGATAATTGCGGGGTCGGTCATGCAATGCTGCACCCAAACAAAATTTACGTCCTTTTTTTACACAAATAGAGCTTTCTTTCAGTGTAATTTGATCACCTGTGCGCTTTTTATTTTTCACGCTATAAACAAAAAAGGCCAAAAATTTTGAAGAAAAACAATATTTTTTACTTTCACCTATAAAAAATATATAGTAAACTCAAAGTTGGTTATAAATTTAGGCCAAAATGTATTCTGCTCCATGTTTTTGGTAAAAAAATCCCAATAAGTGTATATTGATTGCTTTGTGTGAAAGTTATAGCGCCTACAAACTATGGTATAGATACTGCAATTTACGCCATTTTTCTGCTATACAGCGCTGCGCTAGTTTAAAACGGACAATTGCGCGGTCATGCAATACGGTACATAAATGAAATTTACATCCTTTTTTTCCCCACAAATTGAGCTTTCTTTTGGTGGTATTTGATCACCTGTGCGGTTTTTTTTTTTTTGCGCTATAAAAAAAAGGCTGACAATTTTCAGGAAAAAAAAAACAATATTTTGGACTTTTTGCTATAAAACATGTCCAGTAAAAAAAAAAATGCAAAAATCAAATTTAGTCATAAATTTCTGCCAAAATGCATTCTGCGACATGTCTGTGCTAAAAAAAAAAAACCAATACATGTAAATTAATTGGTTTACGTGAAAGTTATAGCGTTTACAAATGGCGGGAAAGATACTGGGATTTTTAGGGTTTTTTTTTATACTAATAATGGCGGCAATCAGCGAAATTATGGCGGCGATCAGGGACTTATGGCAGCGACCAGCGACTTATGGCGGACTGTACCGGACATTCTGACATTGGGGGGTACTGACTTGGGGTCACTGCCATCCCCAAAAACACTAATACAGTGATCAGTGCAAAAAAAAAAAAACACTGACACTGTACTAATGGCAATGGGGAGGAAGGGGTTAACTTTATTTTGCAGGGAAGGGTTATAGGAGTGAGGGGAGTGTTTTACTAGGGGGCGGGGTGTGTACTGGGCGGGACAAGGCTGATTGAGAAAGAGAAACTGTTCTTTCTCGATCAGCTCATCCTCGAGCTGACAGGGAAGTGACAGACAGCACAGCTACTGCAGCTGTGCTCTCTGTCACTGTTTGCCGCCGCTCACTGGGACATAGCCGCTAAGGACCGGCTGTGACCCGGCGACTCACATCTGCGGCGGTGATCGGCGGGGACAGATAGGGGGTGTGCACGAGGCGCGCTGCCGCCCTATTTGTTTACAAAACACACGTTTTAAAACGTGGTTTTGCCT